CTCTACTCTTTAGCCGGGGGGGGGGAAAAAACCCCTCTCCAAATGGTTTGCTGTCATTTTGATTGATTGATTGATTGATTGATTGATTGATTGATTGATTGATTTTACAGTTTTTGAATACCGACCCAATCAGTAGGACTCTGGGCAATACAAATAAGCAAACCCAGAAATAACGCCAAGCTCATAAGATAAAATAAACTTTAACGTTATAAACAGCAGTTGCCCAAGAGTCATATTATGGACTGCAGAATAAAAGATTTCTCAGCAACAGGAGAGCCAGACTGGCTGCATTGTTGGGGCAGCCTATTCTAGGGCGGGGGTCGGTGTGTAAAAATAAAAACTGTTGTAAAGCGTGAGACAATCTCTTCCCTTAGTTTTACAGACATTGGCTATGATTCACAAAACCCACTGAACCTGGTCAGACGCATTTCTTTACACTGGCATCTACAGGGGGGGTCAAAAAAGTCAAGATGGCAGCCAGCATGACTGAAGCCCCGCCCTTTCTATATTTATCTGCAAAAGGGGTGGGGCTTCAACTGTGCTGCCATGATGCCCATATTGTCTTCTATTGATGTCACTGTTTGTACAGCATTCCAATCTAGAAGTCTGGTTACTTGGCTGTGTGAGTGTATGTGTGGTTATTTAGTAGTTTTGATTTGTTTGTGTGTATTGGGGGGGGGTAACCTTTTGGGTTACTTTACGGTTCAATAAACCAGGAAAACAAGTTATTTCCCATTAAGCATTTTCTATGAAAACAGCCTAAGAGTCATATCACACAAGGAAAAAGGGATACACAGGGAAGAGGAAAAGTAAAGCAAGCGTGGTCCCCCATTGCTGATGTGATGTTCTTATCACAACCAGGTGGGATGAAAATAATTCGGGGAACCTGATGGGGGTGGCTGATAACTAGGTGTCTGATGAAGAAAGGTCAAATGTGAATATTTTTTAGAAGAGATGGGAGGACAAAATTTCGCGCAATGTGGGTGTCGACCATCTGGCTATGGGATTTCCCAGGATTTAGACCTCCAGGCAGGCAAAATCCTAATGCAATCTCAGTCTTTAGGTTTCCCCTCTTCCTTTCCTGGAGCAAAAGGATTTTTTGACCAGCCTGGGACAATTCCTTAACTGGGGGTGCCCTCTGCTGGAAACATCTGCTCATCTAAGCCGACCAATTTGAGGCCGGAGACACTCCAAGCCGAATGAAACTTAGTTCTGTACCGCCTCCTGCTGGCCAAGGGAGGTGAAAACACCATGCAGCATATATGCTGTGTAAACATGGAGAAATGCCCTCCCCACCCCAGGGTGCCCAGAAGGTGCTCAAACGCTTGCACAACACGCAGCTTTTTCTCCCCGGCTTGGTATTTCCTTGAGTTTCATAACGATATCTTCTCCTTTGGAGCCCTTGGGGTTCTCTGAGCTGGGTTGTTTTCTGGCAAATGTTTCGTTACCCGGCTAGGGAACATCTGAAGATGTTTGTTGTTCAGTCGATGAGTCGTGTCCGACTCTTCGTGACCCCATGAAGCATATCGTGCCAGGCCTTCCTGTCCT